GGAGCCGGAGGGATGGAAAGAGACGTGTGGGGGGCGGTGTGTGCTACTGAACGGTAAATGCGCTGTTCTGGGGTCCGCAAGCGGTCGCTTATCGTAGAATCGCGAACTGGGTTGGGCTGAAGGGACCTTAAAACTCCTCCAGCTCCAACCGCTGCCACGGGCAGGGACACCTTCCACTAGAGCAGGTTGCTCCAAGCCCCTGTGTCCATCCTGGCCTTGAACACTGCCAGGGATGGGGCAGCCACAGCTTCTCTGGGCACCCTGTGCCAGCGCCTCAGCACCCTCACAGGGAAGAGCTTCTGCCCCAGAGCTCATCTCAGTCTCCCCTCTGGCAGGTTCTTTTTGCGTCCTTGTCAAAAGTTGTAATGATTTACACGCGAGGCAGTGTCAGCCTGCAGAGAACTGACCTGTGCTGCCTTGGATCCTTTCAGAGGCTGAAGGCTGCGGTTCACTACACTGTTGGCTGCCTGTGTCAGGAGGTTGCAGAAGACAAAGACGTGCAATTCAGCAAACAAACCATTGCAGCTATTTCAGAGATCACCTTCAGGCAGTGTGGTACCGACGTTTGTGTATTATCTGTTTGTTCAAGAGCAATTACTGGAGAAACAGTGCTTTAAAAGCATAGCGCCAGAGCTCGGGGTTGCTGGTGCACTGTTTATTGCATTGAATCTTTAAAAGTATGAGAAATAGTAACTATTTTTTAGACCTGGAAAAAGCATTTAAATGGATGTGGAAAAACCGTGTGGGCCCCCTGCCTGTGCAACAGTGGTGTGTAATAACAAGTTATGGTCACTTTGCATCACTAACTTGGATTAATTTGTGGTGAACACCGTTGTAACAGCTAGAACTGTGTCATTTATCTCTTCCTACTCAGAGTTAGCCTTTTAAAGTATGTGGTGTCTTTGTTTCTCCAGAGAACTTTGCAAAAGACCTTGAAGTGTTTGCAAGGTAGGTACTGGAACACTTGATTGTTACAAACCCTTTATCTTTTGTGTTCAGCTCCAATTACTAGATAATCTTTAAAACATACCTTGTAATTCAAGTTTTAGGGGGTTCTGTTGGCTGATGAATAGTGGCTGTGAAGTTAGGAAATAGATATTCCCTTGTAGGTTCTTCCTGATCCTGGAAGTTCGTTTATGTGGTACAAGTGACTGTTTAGACTAATGACTGTACCTAATTGTCAAACACATTGATACATAGCAGTATGGATGGTTTGGGAGTGACAGATGCTTACCAGCAGGCAGGCCTGTGTTTCATCTGCTTGCTCCAAGGAGGTAAGGGAATGTTTTAAGGAGTCAAAACTTAACTCAGTGAGCTACTGGCAAGTTAAGAGGGAACAGACCAGTGTTGCTTGAAGTTCTGGTTGCTGAATTCCATGTTTTTTACACAGGAAGTGTGGGAATTTAGGTGTACACATACAAACGTGTAAAACAGGGTTTTGCGTGTTACAGTTGGAAAAGATAAGGCATGTTTGGTTTACTGGGTCCCTGTCAAGCCCTTTTAGTGTTCTGAATGAGATGCTGTATGGCCTCTTACAATCACTGCGGGCAAGCACATTAAGGGGTATTTTTAATATTATGCAGGCACGCAAAGCGGAGCACAGTCACTATAGAAGATGTGAAGCTTTTGGCTAGAAGGAGCAGTTCTTTGGTGAGCTTTACTGTATCTTCTGTCTTGTGCTATGCTTAAACCAATTGGTTAGTTCCTAACAGCATTTGAATGAAGGCTAGAGATGATGAAGCAACTGTTGCTTAAGCAGATTCACTGGCTTATTGATGATGATGGGCACAATCCAGTATTTTTAACTTTTGATCTTATTTTGCTTGGTGACATTATGCCTCACTGTGGGAACACAGATCTGATTGCAGTTTAAGCAGCAATGTTCTGGTTGCAGCAGGGCTGCTGAGATTCCAAGTACAGAAGTGCAATAAACAGACACATTACAGCATTGTTGGTCTTGGAAGTAATTCACTTGGGTTTTCTCCTAATTTTGTGTTCCATTTTTTTTAGCCTAAGGTCAGGAATACCTTTAGTATTTAGTAAATATTTTAGTACTGAGGCACCTTGAGGTGCCAAGTCTAACATTAATACAGGGATGATTCACTTTATTGTATTCTCTCATGTGCTGCTCTGTATAATGTCCACTGACTTAAATTCACTAATCTGTTATGACATACCTGTAAGTCCTTCCATGAAGAAGAATACTTCCAATACTAATTCTAAATTTGTGTGAGGAGAGTTTTTCGTTCCATATGTGATTTGAACTACACAACATGAACTTCCCTGAGAAGGTACAGTAAAAGCTGGAGCTGAATCTTGTGTTCCTAACTATCATGTGCTCTTTGTGTCAAGTGGGTGCACAGGAATCTTGCAGTGTGTCTGTGCTCAGGTTGTATCTATCTTGGCAAACTACAACTCCTGAGTAACTGCTAATGTTGCTCTCTTGGTTCTAGACATTGATGGATCATACATTTATAAATCCTTGCCAGAGCATTTCAGTATTTGAGGATGTCCAGCTTAGACTCAGGGCTTTGTGAAAGAATTAAAACTAATTGATGTTTGTGACCCTTTTTGGAGCCTGGTTTTTTTTTTTTTTGGAGTAGGAATTTGCCCTGTTAGTTTCTCTTTAATGTTTCTAAGTTCTCTGGAATAAATGAATCCTCAGTAAGTGACATTAATTTACTGTTCTCAGCTCAATTATATCACTGAGAAGAGCGAAGAGCTCGCATTAAGTAACATGGAGCAAAAGGAAAAGAAGAAAAAGAAGTCCAGTGCAGTCAAGGAAGAGAGAACTTCAGGGGAACATGAAGCAGCTGTGACTGAAAGTGAAGATTCCAACATGGCATGATTTACTTTTCAAGTAACGTCTCTGGTCATTTTCTCTTACTATCGTAGAGGGACCAGTTAGCCTCCTAGAGATTCCTCTTGCAGGTTAGCAATGGTAATGAATGTTTAGGCTTTTGGGTGAACATGATAAGTGGGATTTTTTTGTTGCTGTTCCAAACCTGGAAAGTCTGTCAGAATTCAGTGAAGTTTACAGCCAAAATGCCTTAACTTATCACAAAAAGGTAAATTACTGTTATTAAAAAGAAAATCCTTTAAAGCAGAACATTCTCACTGACCAGAATACCTCAGTATGTGCAATGCCCTCCATGCTTCTCCTTAAGTTTCTCCACTAATTGATTTCTTTCCTGTTTCCATTTTTGATATTTCGCTTAATGTATTTTATTTTTAATAGCCGTATCTCTTACTTGTCTTGACAATTAAAACATGTTTTGTGCCATTTTTCACCTCTGACACTGCTGGTGGACTTTGCTTTCAGTAAGTTTCATTGCATTTCTAACCTTACTATGATAATGTGGCTCCAAAGTGGTGGTCAGAAATGTATCTATCTCTCTCTCTCCATTGTCCTCTGCAGGACTGACAGAGCCTTACCAAGTGCTGCTGATGCAAAAGCAGAAAAGCAGCAGATTTCAAGACCTAAGGTGTTAGACAGGTATAGCCAAGTGTAATGAAAAGGCTGCTTAAGCTGTTGCGTGGGCAAACTTTATCAAGCAAGTATATGCTCACTAAGGATAGTCTAAAATAAGCATAAGATATGAAAACCCTCCATTTGTTTTTGCCTTAAGGCTAGATTGGAAGGACCATCACTGCCTTCCTACGGGAATGATCAGCATGGTCTCTGTGACTCCATCTCAGTGATTGTCTGGAAACAGGCGAGTTGAATATTCCTAATACACACAGGATTGAATTATGCTATCTGCTATTTTAAGTAGATGTGAAAAAGCCACAGGTAAAACACTTCTTTCCTCTTGTACAGCTTAAGGAATAGAATTTCAATTGCCAAGTTGAGCTTGACAGAGGCAAAAGCATTGCAGCTTTGAGCAAGACTGAAAAACTGGTTCATAATGGAGAGAGTGGTGATCACAAGCTGAGACATAAGCTCACAGAAAAAGTGTGCTGACAGCTAGGCTGCTCACTGCATGCTGTTTCAATTGGTGGGCAGTGTAATCAGCTTTGAGTGTGACAGAGCATGCCTCCAAACTTCTGTTAATGCACAGCCATCTGTGCTATTTCAGAAAGACTTGAACAGAAGCTTGTAATAAGTAACTATTTAAAGCAGCAGGAAACCTTTTTACCTGCCGTGGCTTATAATGGTACAAGCCAGAAGGGTATAATATAAAAAGCCATTGCCTTAGCAAAATAAACTGACCAAAAAGTTGACTGCAAGCTTCCCCATTAAGTACAGCCAATTCCCATGGGTAGCTTCACATGAAGTCACCCTGAGTATTTTTGCTTACCTGCTCAAAGGCATTAAATAAAATATTCATTAGTTACCCTGGCAGTCTAATTTTGAGTGTGCCATAATTCAACTGGTATGTCTAGATGCAATGGTTTCATCTGAATGCCCTGCTGCAGGAATACTCATCAGCTGGCATCCAGTACCATTTAAGGTTATGTTAAATCAGAGGGGTTTGCACCAAAGTTTCAGCTCACTTTCCAGACTTTTTTCCATCTACATCAATTCTCACAATAGAACAGATTGTGCCAGGTGAGAGCTCTGGTGCAGTGTCATCAGTATGAACATGCATGCTACCTGAACACTTTGGACAGGTTAAATACAGAGTACTCCTGTATTTGATTCCTTCTTCTTCTAGCCTTAAGGCAATACTGTACTTATCAGCACCTTCTTTAACCAGGTGGAAATACCAAACCTAGTCTAACAGTAAGGTATAAAGGTTTTAATGGTATTAGAAAGACTTTAACAAAATTAAAAATAAGCCAGTTAATACAAAGGCATCAGGATACTTACATTAATGATTAGGAGAGTAATACAGGCAGACCAAAACCAAGTCTTCTGCCCCACAGCCTTATGAAGCAAATATTTCTACCTTTGCTGTGTTTTACAAGTCAGTGCTTACCCAGGAGGCCAGAACTCCTTACAGGAAAAGCACAGAAGTTAAAAGACTTTGAACTGACTTCAGCTGATGAAATGAGCCAGAGAATTCAAGTTCCTGGATCCCATGCCAGAGCTTAAAGCCAGAGAGCAGCTGGCTAACCCCTCTGCCCTGTTCATTAACTGCCTCGAAGTGTCTTCACCAGAAGTCTTCCATCCTTTACACTGGAAATGGCAGGAGGACAAAGCAAGCAAACCGCCTGTGGCTTCAAAAGCCAGATCCATCATTATCAGATGGAAGCTGCTGGCTCCCAACAAGGTATTCAAAGCTGATCTCTTACATGCTGTGTTTAGCAATCCCATTGTTCTAGTTTTCTGCAAAAAGTCAAAATCCCTTTGGTTACACATGATTTGAATCATCACAGGAGTTTAAGCCTCAGGACAATGTCCAGATTTCAGTTGTCTGACCACAGCATGACCAGCAGACTATGGCTCCCAGGACACATCTTTGCTTGTATTGATTCTAATACAAAAAAAGAAAATATTGCAAGCAGCACCACAGTCTATTTTTTACGTTTTGAACTAACCCAGTCTCCCAAGGGTAGTGTTTTCTTGCCCTTTGATGTGCTCCTTAGGGAATGCAAAGTCTGCACTTGCTGTAGACGCTTGGAGAGCTCCTGATCACAGGCTCGCTGCAGAGCTTCAGCTTTCTGCTTGTCCCATCTCAGAGCCGAGGCCAGGGCTTGTGTGTCTTCTTTCAAGACCAGCTGTAGCAAGACAGATATCCAACAGTCTTTTCTACTGATGCTCCACCACCAATCCCTCAGCTCACATTCAGAACAGCAGCAGAGACACCTGTATAGTACTAGTATTGAGGATGTTCCCATCTTTCATCATCTATCCCATGGGCTAGCAGGTTTTCAATATTCTAGCAACACCCAGAGCCTGAAGGTATAGTCAGATGTAAAGAGGAACAGAAGCAATTACTTGGTTTCTACAGCAGGGAAAAGCAAGAGTAGCAAGTTGATAACATTAGAAAGAACACACTGACTAATGATTAAAGTTTACCTAGACTTTTCCAAGCTCTGGGTTTATTTACATTGTATTCTAAAATAAGGTTTTTATTTTGGTTTGGGATGTATAAAAGATGCATCTGCATACAAAAAAAAATCCCAAACCCCAGCTTGTCTGTAAGAAAGCTGAAACACTGGCTGAGTATGATTTGGCAGAGATCTAAACCAGAATTATTTTGTGGATTTTCAGAGGACTTGGAATAATGTCAGCTGGCCCTTACAGAGGAGCTCCAAGCAAGGGGTAGTGTTACTGAGGAAGACAGATTAAATCTCACTGTCTTGAGACTGAGATATATTGACATTAAAGCCTCCAGAAGCAAGGACAGCTTCTATCACCTCTCTCTGCAGAGGGAGAGGTTTGCCAGGCTATGGTTATGTCATTCTCACCCACCTCAAGATCTTGACTGTCCAAGCAGAGCTCTGGAGCAGGTTTCTCTTTCAGAGCAGCAAGGATCTGGTCACTGAGCGCTGTTTTGGCTGAGGTGCTGGTACTGCTGGTACCCGTGTCAACCACATCCATCTCCTTTATTGGTACAGCCTCAGGTTCTGAAAAGTAGCAGAATCATTATAGCCTGTGACAGGAAGAGTGGCCTGGACTGCTTTGGGATTAATGACATATGCATTCTATCTATGTGCATCCCCTCACTTAGGAAATCCATAACGTTAAGGATGACGACATGACCTAAGCTTTTCTCCCAGTATTCTACTTTCAGGCACTGTGAGGAATGTAACACTGCAGTGAGGAGAGGACTGCTCTCTCCCAGGCAGGGAATTCTTCCACTATACCAGCTATTACTTCGACCACACTAAGGAAGTGACTGACTGTAGGCCTTCACCCTGCCTTATTCCACTCAACTATTTCAGGCATCTTCAAGAAGCTCCTTCTCTAGCATCCTAATGCTCCCTACCTGCTACTTTGCTTAAGATACTGTCTTCACTTTTCAAGGCCTTTAGGTAGAGTTCCAGGAGCTGTCTTGACTGGCGTTCTTCTTCTCGTCTGTCCAGCACTTGCTGCAGGGTGTCCTGCAACACTTGGATTTTGGTTTGACTTTGGGCAAGTTCTTCTGCCAGGTCTGAACGTGGTACATCAATAAGCACCTTAAAACAACGAGAATGCTCCTGTTACAGGGATTAAGTAACTCATTCCATTACACTGATTACAGAACAGACAGCAAGCCTCTACCTCCAGGAAACCCAGCATCTTTCACAAGGTTTCTTATCAAAGCAAGTCAGCCTAGTTAGGCTGTAAGAGCACTCCACCAGTCTTTACCAGAAGCCAAAAGGCATCAAGGAACATGTGGATTTTTACCAAATCCTGGCAAAGTACCACTTCCTAGGAGTGCATGAGAATACACAAAGGAAAGTTGGCCTTTGGGATGCTGGTTTTAAGGAAAGAGCCTGCCCCAGTTGCCATTTGGCCAAATCATGGCTTTTTGCCCTCCCACTTCCAGAACTGGAAAGACATGCTGTGAGGGACAACCAGTGATGAAGAGCATCCTCCTCAGTCACTGGTGTTTCCCCTTGAGGAGAAATTTGACCCTAGCACCACAGCCAAACAGCAGCAGCTGAATCCAGCTTGAGATCTGGATTGCTAATTCTGTTCTTTGCCAGCTACTGAGATAAACAAATGGTGGGCAGTCAAGGACAGGAATGAGAAATTTTCCCACTGTACCTGGAGGTCTTCTTCAGACATCAAAATGATATTGGACAGGTCATCCTTCAGCTGCCTAGCCAGCTGCTTCCACTTCTCTACACCACTGTCCACTTCGTCCACAGACTCGGAGAGCCAGGTTCTTCCACTGTCTGACACAAGAGCCATCAGCTTCATGGGTCATTCCTGATCCACCTGAGCCAGCCCGATTTCACAAGGTGTACTCCAATCCCCCTCCCCTTCCATGCTCCCTCAGCCACAGAGTACCTGAGCTGCTGCTGGACCATTTCTCATTATTGGCCAGTGCCACAAACTTGGTATCAGGTGGCAAACACAAAAAGTAATCTTCATCATCCACGATGGTGCCATCTTCTGCCAGTACTAAGGTGATGGGCTCCCTGTCCTTGTCAAGAGCCAGAATGCCACTAGCTGCAAGACAGAAAAAATCCTTACAGTGAATATTAAATAGGAAGCTGTGGCTGCCCCATCCCTGGCAGTGTTCAAGGCCAGGCTGGACACAGGGGCTTGGAGCAACCTGCTCTAGTGGAAGGTGCCCCTGCCTGTGGCAGGGGGTTGGAACTGGACAAGATTTAAGGTTCCTTCCAACCCAAACCACTCCGATTCTGTAATTCTGCTAAATATAAGCTTTTGATACGTATTATAATACATATATATACGTATTCTGATCTATGTGCTGCCGTTTTGTTACACCTGTCACAGGAGACAGGCAACTCCCGGCAGTTCAGGACCTGTCTCCACACGG